GTAAAAGAGCACTTCTTTGACACACCAGAGATATTCGAAACTTGGGCTGGCCTCTCGGCTTTCTTTGCCACTTTTGGCACTTATTTGGCACTTCAGTGGGTAGCCAGAAAAGAGCCAAACTTCGGCATGCCCCGAATCGACAAATTAAGATTTACTGCGGCAGCTATGGCTCAAGTCTGGCACTTACTTTGGCACAACTGTGGCGGACCAGAGAAAAGCCAAACTCGGCGAGGCTGAAATACCGAAATTAGGCGTTGCTTTGGTAGTTATGGCTCAAGTATGGCACACTTCGGCACTCCTGTGGCGTATCAGAGAAACGCCAAATTTCGGCGTGTCCGAAATACCCAAATTAGGCGTTGCTCTGGCAGTTATGGCTGAATTATTGCATCAACTTTGGCGCTCCTCTGGCGGACCAGAGAAACGCCAAACCTTAGCACGTCCCGAATACCGAAATGAGGCGTTGCTCTGGCAGCTATGGCTGAAGTATGGCACCAACTTTGGCGCTCCTCTGGCGGACCAGAGAAACGCCAAACCTTGGCATGCCCCGAATTCCAAGTTTAGGCTTTATTATGGCAGTTATGGCTCAAATCTGGCACCAACTTTGGCGCTCCTCTGGCGGACCAGAGAAACGCCAAACCTTGGCACGTCCCAAATACCGAAATTAGGCGTTGCTCTGGCAGTTATGGCTGAAGTATGGCACCAACTTTGGCGCTCCTCTGGCAGACCAGAGAAATGCCAAACCTTGGCATGCCCCGAATTCCCAGATTAGGATTTACTATGGCAGTTATGGCTCACGTATGGCACCAACTTTGGCACTCCTCTGGCGTACCGGAGAAGAGCCAAACTTTGGCATGCCATAGGATCGCCCAACTAAGGCTATAGTTCGGCACCGTACTTTGGCACTGATGAATGCCATGGTGCAAAAACCTAACTGCGCCAAAGTTGGGCCCTTATGTTTGCCAGACCTTTGCCCAAGTTGGGCATTCCTCTGGCGTGCTACCTGGGTACAGTCCAACCCGACTATATTGAACCCGTTTACTTGGAATTATTTCTTACATTGAAAAACTTTTCTGCACAGTAATGTTACAGCGATAATATATATCAACAATTACGGTTACATTGAACAAAAATAGCAGCCACTACCGATACATCGAACTGCCAAGAGTGGCGTTTTGCTCCGCAAGCTTGCTTTCCCCCAATGTTTGCACCCCATTGGGGGAAAGCCAGCTTGAAGAGCACGCTGGCTTCTTTTTTGTGGGCGGACGCATCGACTTAACACCTCTAAGAAAGAAGGCCGTAGCGCTCCGAGTGGTTACATCACAATGTCGGAGAAGGAAGGCCATGGTGCAACTACATAAAAAAAAATATCACATCGTCGTGAAAAACATTTTTCTTGTCAAGCGGCACGGTGGGGTTCGTGCGCGTTTATCCGACATTAATATGTCTTAAAAGTGCTGTCTTGTACAATTTATTATATATATATATATAATATAAATGTAATATACAATGTGCTACCAAGGTTGAAAGTACCAATTTTATATTCATGATTACCCCTATAACCGCGGGACTATGTGCAGTCCCGCAGCTCCCCACAACTTTCGAATGAACCAGTTCGGTGAGACATTTTCATCTTCCCTCCAACGGCTCCGATTCTGGTAAATGTATGTTGTGTGCGAGCTGCAGACTGTCTGAAAAGGAATGCTGGGACTTTCAGAAGGGAAGAGAACGGAAAAAAATCTAGTCAGCGCCGCGGGGAGCGCACACGAGCAAGAGATGGGCCGACAACGTTAAGCCTCCCACACTGCTCCGCTGCTCTCGTGTGAGGTTCTTTTGATCCTTGTTCCCAACGTTTTTCTGTCGTCACCGCAGCCTCGGGTAGTTTTTGTGTTTGCTTGATACTACGGCATTTACGTGGATTAGCGGAACAAGTCCTGCTACTGTTTGAGTGACGTGTGTGGAAACTAGCCAACAATGACACTGGTCGATTATCGATAGACCTCTCGAGATTTCGACTAAGAGGGACTTCTTGGAGCTTGTCTTCAAATGTTTTCGTGCCAGATATTGTGGGACATATGGATACGATCGACAGGTGAGAAACAACTTATTTACGGGCTTTCTTGGTCATGTGGGATGCGAGTAAGTGCTGCAGTCTTTCTTTTAAAATTTTGTGATAGAGTGGAATTTTGTTCTTTGTCGCTATCCGTGTACAGTGGCGTCGACATTTGTAAATATGCGTTGCAACATTCTAGTTTTCACTGGAAGGTGAATGACAAGTTTGTGCGATCATACAAAATGCACTTTTTGTGGTTTCGTGTTTGTTGATACTAATGTCATTTTATTGCCTTTACCGCATTTATACCAGGAACTTAACTGTACTACGGCAATAGTATTATTGTATACAAAAGAAGTTATATTTTGTTTACATGATTGTAAGTGACCCTTCTCTAGCCGTGTCCACGTTGACTACGTCTACCTGATCTTTAACTGATCTGTTTTGCTGTGTCCACTCACTGCGTTTTTCACAATTTTGTTGAAGCGTTTCTGTATAAATTATGCATTCCTACAACAATTGCGTGACTCAATGTTTTAAACCTAAAACAATCACTTTGTATAAGCGTCTTATACGCATACTTCGTGCCATTTTGTACCGATTATTTAGCGATGTAATGCTTTGCCCGTGAAATACGACGTTTTCTAGACCCATTGTTATGGGCAGCTTTCATTTTAGCTAACAAATCACGCTTATGTGACTAAAACCGTGTTACGACAATCGACCCACGCGCGTTGCCTTCGCTTCGACGCGCCCCCCGATGGCCTTCATTTGCGACGTCACGAGAGGAGCGCTACGGCCTTCTCTTCTGGGAGGTGTTGGTCGACCGCCCGGAAGAAAAAAAAAATCTCTTTTGCGCAGGGAGCAGGGGGAGGGCGCTCCATGGTTCCTCTTCCCACTCCGTCCACAAAAGAGAATACTGCCTTTTCTTCCGGGAAGGTTGAGGCGGCCGCCCGGAAGAAAAAAAGCCAGCTTGCTCTGCTAGCTGGCTTTCCCCCAACGCAGCTGCCTGCCTTAGGGGAAAGCCAACTTGCAAAGCGAAACGGAAGCTCTGCAGGTGCTACTGCTCGGACGTGCTCCGTGCTCTCGGCATAGTTTGGCCCTAATGTGCGAATATAGAAGGCAGCGGCCTCAATTTCGGAGTCCGTCGATAGCGTAGAAAAATATTGTTATTGCGGATGCAATGAAGAAAAAGCAGCAGAAGATGCAAGACTATTTCATTGTGTAATATGTCAGCAGAAAGTGGATTTTTGAGAGTCAAATTCATTAATACACCTAACTGAATAACCCGCTATATCGAACTGGCAGACGTTTTCTTGCGAGTTTGATGTAAACGGGTTTGAGGTATAGTGGATTTTAAGTTCAAAACGAATTTAAAGTGAATATTTTTTTTCTGTTGAATAGTTTTGAATTTAATATTGTTATAGTTTCTACTAGCCTTCCACTACTGTACGATACTTAAATAGAAACCCTGCAGGTTGCTGCCGAGATTTCACTTGAACTCTCCTAAGTCCTTATTTTAATACGTAACTCATATTTATAAACTGCGGCATCTGAACAAGAAATTTGTTGCAGATATTCTAATCAAGGGGATTTTTAAATCTGCTTGTTATATACAAATATTTTGTATTCAATATAAAGTATGAAAAAAAAAAGGAGCATGAATGATGAACGTATGTTCTCAAGGCCTCTTTTGCCTAACCCAGACATTGTTTCTCAAAATTAATGAACGTCTAATTGCAAGTTTTAGAATGTGTCCAAATTTGTGCGTGTCAAAGAAATGGCATCGTCGTCATGCGCCAGTCCAGACAAGGTCTAGGCTTTGCACATGCGCACTGGTGACGATGTTATTTTTGCTCACGCAAGGCTTTTGGGTACTCTAGTCTAAAATTGCCTAATACTATTACTTAAGGTATTCACATCAAACTTGATCACATCGGTCCATGCTCATGAATGCAAGTGACAACCTAGCTTTTCATAATCTACACCTTTTTGTGTCTAGATATTTAGTTTTTTATGCAAAAATGTTTTTTGTATTCCTTCATACACAAACTCATCTCTGTTACGTCACAGTGCGGTGGCGGCGCTTCGGGCACACTTCCGGCCTGGGGCTGTGGGCGGAAGTCCCCGTGCGAGACGTGTATTCCTGCGTTGTTTTGAAAGGAACCTGACAAAAACCCGCTTTCTCGTCAAAACATCACGACTGGGGCTGTACCAAAAGAGTCTAGAAAGGTTTGAAGGTTAGTTTTCATATGCTCGGTTCGTACGAGAACGTGGATATGTGCCGTGAAAAGGGAAAACCTGATGCCGTCGGACCACAACTGCTTGGGCGGGAAGCACTTCGGGTTGAATTCACGAATACTGGTGGTCATCAATTTATTCTTTTGTTCCCACATGAATGCCAAAAAACCGTCATGTTGTACCGACCATTGTATAATGACTATGTTCAGTGCGTCTTCAAGTTCAAACGGCCGCCTGATCATTCGAACTATCGTCTGCTGTCTCAGACAATTCTGCTTGTCTGCTCTTTTAGAAGACACCGGCCCGAACATCAAATGTTGGTGCCGTACTTGCGATAAGAAGTAAGTACAGCCCTCAAAAGACTTAAAGGGGCACTGACAGGTCAAAATCATATTTTTTTTATTATCTGAAACGATTAAAAACCGTGTTTACACATTATCCTCAGAATTTGAAGCCTGGGGACTCAGTATTTGTGAAGTAAAAAAACAAAATCCAAAAGCCGATTTTGAAGTTCCCGCGCTCTACGGGCCAGAGGAGTGACGTCAAAAATCGAGGCGACCTGTGACTCGAGTTTTTCTCCTGCCTCCAAAACCGCCCCAACCGGAAGTGGCGTTGCCCCCGGGATCCGCGCATCGCGCATCCTCCTTCTCCCTTCTCCGTGCGTGTCGCCTTTCGCTGCAAGCAGACGACGCTGTACTTTCAAGTTCGAAGTTTCAGGGATCTCAAATTCTTTGAGATCCCAAATTGTTCCAAAGTTTGTGAGGTTGAACAGGACGCGTAGTGGACTCGTGTCGGCGACGTGAGGGACCATGTCGCGCCGGTGCTGCGTGAAAGGATGCCCCGGCGGAATCGCAACCGAAAGCACGCTGCTGCACAGGTTCCCAAAATCTGTGCCAGAGAAGGCGGCCTGGCTAGCTGCAATTCCTGAACGACTTCTCGAAGGCTTTGGACCTAAGTCCTTTATTTGTTCCCGACACTTTGTCGACGAAGATTATGAGGTCAGTCCAAGCGTATCTAGAGCGTTGGGGGTTAAAATGGTACCTCGGTTGAGGCGTAGTGTTGTACCGACGAACTTCCCGCAGCAGGTCACACCACGCCAAGCAAAGCGCCCAAGACTAGAGGTAAGTCTACCAAATATATCTCATTAAATGCAACTTGGACTTAACCACAATCTCGATGAACGCCAGCCGACATTGGTGCGCGGCATGAATTAATATTTGCCTGCTCTTTGCTCGCCACACGAACGTCGGCTCGTCCCAGCCGCTGGGACGGGCCAACAAATTTGCACCTCGTTAACGGAGCACACTACGTAGACGTTTAAATTTGTAGCTAAAGCCGGAAGGTTGGGTATATTTATTTGCCAATTATATCCCTTTTTTGTATATTCTTACAGATTAGTTTTAGAAAAAAACCATGAAAGGTACACTTATGCTGTTTGCGCGAGTGAGTTAATACGCCCAGGGGGACATTATGTGGGTGGCTAATCGTTGCTATAAGTCGGCTAATTAATTAAAATTCACTAATTTTTATTAGTCAGGATAGACATATGGTTCCAATTAGAAACATGCTGAGCGTCGTCCAAAACCCCTAAATCAGTCATTTTTAGAAAGACTGAGCGCGTGAGAAGAGCAGTGTGGCGTTGAAGTTACCACTCGTTGAGCAGACAATATGTTTTTGAATAAATTTCAACAACCCTTTTTTTGTGATAACAAACGGGTCGATGACGTGCTTATGACTACGGGGGGGGGGGGCAGGAGGAGGAGGAGGAGGAGGAGGAGGAGGAGGAGGAGGAGGAGGAGGGAGGGAGGGAGGGGGGGGGAGGAGGGAGTATTTATTCATTAACATGTGTAAGTATTCATACTGCACTGAGGCCAATTAGCAGAAAATACCATTTTGATGACCAAGGCATTTGGGTACATGTTTGATCGCTAAAAGGTGATGTAATAAAAAAAAATATAAAAAAGGGCACTTTTTAATATTTTTTTTAATAATGTAGTTTTAAATCATTGCATTGGATGAAATTCAGTGAATGAATTTCGAATTTAATGTAAAATACAACGCAATTTCAAGTTAACCAAAAGTGCTACCATTCGGTACTACAAAAATAAAGTGTTGAGTAAGCTGTGGGTATGATGCATCATGTGGTCTGAGGCCTCGAATTAGTCGTGAGAATATCTGAATTATGACATTTGTCACTTTATTTTGGCTATGTGTAAAAAAAACTGCCGTATAAATGCAAAAATAGGTAGTGGATACCATACAGAAAAAAAAAAGAATGCCAGATTTTTCAGGTGTTTGTAATTTATGCTGACCAAAAACTATCTACCTTGTCCATGGTAAACGTTACACTAACACGAAATAAAATAACTTCAACATTTTGGGTGCAGATTTTGTGAAGCATAATACATGCTTTGTGAATTATGAAAGGTCACTTGTGACACGGGATGTACAAAGTGCATCGCAAAGATGTACTGGACAACCCAAAGTATAGTACCCAAAGTGCACAGAATGATAATTTCATTACTTTCAGGAATCTCCGGGTGACAGCGCTGCTCCAGGACTAGCTACTCCCGACCAGTCAGCAAGCTTGGCAGCTGGGCCAACTCATGTGAGTTCACACCAAATCATCATGACACCTTATACTTGACACAAAGCAGCAGGAAAAATTATTAAAAATTAAAAGCCGTACTCCGAGATAAACTAAAATTACTTAGAACAGAATGTTTAGGTTAGACTGGTGACAGGCGATAGGTCCATTCCCAGTGTAGGAGCCAGAAAAAGAGGGGATGTCATCCAGAGACTTCATAGAATTTAAGGTGGGGGGCGCCAGGCGCCCCCCCCCCCCTTCCCCGAGGGCAATTTCACATGAGTGGACCCCCCGGTGACATGAAAGAATGGGAGAATAGTATTTTTACAAATTCACCCCCCCCCCCCCCCCCCCCCCGGCCCCGGAAACAAAGTCCTGGATCCGTCCCTGGTCTTTTCTCCATCGTTATGCGATGGGTCAACACCACACATGCACATGCCTGAACAGGACACACGCCACCAGCAAACACAGGGAAAACAGGACCGCAGCCCAAAAAAGAAAACAAATAAAAAATTCCAAGGACTCGCGTGGCAGAGTGCACCGACGAGCAGAGCCATGGGGGTGCTCCCCTCCCCACTACTTGGCGAAATTCTGCTTATGTACCACCCCAAAAATCACTTTTCCAGAGAAAAACCTTGGCGGAAGCTAACAATCCATAAAGGTACAAACAGATGTCAGGGTTATCACTCACATGACAGAGCATTACCCACATTCAATTGTCCCCGATGACAACCCAAAAGACTGAAGAGTGACAGATAAAAAAATTTTTGTGGTTCCTAACCAGACTGAAAAATTCACACCTCTTTCCCACCCAAAAAACAGTACCTCGTCGCATTGGGGTGGGGCGGAAAGGTGTGCTAAAGATTAAAAGATTGAACCAACGGCTGCGGACAGTGCAGTCAGTGCCAACAAACAAAAAATAAATATCACCTAAATTCGTGACAATTGTGGACCATAAATTATCCTGTGCATGACCTATCAATTTAGAGAGCCACAAGCACTGTTTCTAAGAAGCACGTTGTTGCACATCGAGTAATGAATTTTTCTGTGTTCGTGTAAATCAGGTGTAATGCAGCTAATTTCCTTTTTTTAGTGGGTAAGCCATATATCTTGAGGAGCCTAGAGGTGCAACTGCAACAACTTGTAGATGATTTTTCCCTACCTCCTACCTTTAATTTGTAGAGGAATAAAGAAATTTAACCTGAAATAAAGAAATCTAAATTTTTTATGTCCCGTTGTCTGGATTCTAAACATTGAGATATTTCATACTTCCAGGAATGTCAGGGTGAGGAGATACCATCTCCAAATACTACTTCAAAGGATATCCACTTGGTAAGTTGTGCCTCCACATTCAACACCTGCTGTCTTCCACTACAAGACAAAAGAATGATGAGGTTATTGAAATAGCATCATCATCTGTTCCAGAGGTGCGCTAACTGTTTAGGACTGCGACCCCAAAACCTGGGCCAAACACGCTTATTAAAGAGCACAGCCTGGTTTCGTTGACTTTACCCTCGGCTTTACCAGCCACTGTTCTTAGGGGACTGTTATTTCTGTGCTAGCTTTATGCATATTCATTTTTTTTTTTCAGGAACTCTCCAAGGCCGTGTGGCCTCGTACAATAGCCCGCGACCGTTTGAGGGGTCACAACACACACTTTGCACGTCTCTGATCTGTATAATGGATGCTGCAAAAGAAGCTCCCTCTTGAAAAGCGGGCAAAATGCTTGGGCCAGGCAAGGGACATAGTTTTAAAGTAGCTTACCAGACTGGAACTTTCAAAAGATTATTTCAATACATGTTGAAAAAAGAAAGAAACAGACTCAAGCATTTTCATTTAAAGAAAAAAGAAAGAAACAGACTCAAGCATTTTCATTTAAAAGCAGCAGCTGACACCAAAAGAGTGAAGACATGTGTTCATTTACTTGCCTATTGCATTCCTTTCTTCATTCTTTTTGAGTGACACTACTCATAACTATGTGTAGTCATTGCTGTTTGCAAATACCGACTTTACTTGTGCACGTAACATACTCGCATAATTAATTTACCCGCCATGTAAGCATAAAAAAAGTCCCTTTTGTTATTCCTGCAAAGAATTTCTAATAAAAAATGTGACTGCAATCAAGTGGTTACTACAAGAACATGACTGAAGAGCTGCCAATATAAACATTGTTTTGTCCTGCAGTAAAAAAATTGCTTTCTGTGGAAACTTTCTGTGCTTGAGCACAAGCTTTTTTTTTATCTTTGCATTTAGGTTGTTGTGGTGCCACGCACTGAGCTCTCTACAAGCAAGCCACCACTGGATTCCACAGCCAGAAGACAAATGGGAACTGTAAGAGGTAAGCCCGAGTGTCTTTCTGTTTGAACATAAACAAATTTAACAGAAGCCCCTCTGGTACGGTTAAAGCCAGGAAAATTAAGAAGTCATCAACAAAAGACCTCAAGTTTCACGGTCCCAACATTTCAAAAACCGAATTGACTTCTTCAGGTGTGACTATTTACAAATGTGAATGATTGCTTTCATATTTTGAATACTTCAAACATTACTAACTTTCTGGCACACCTATACTCTATCGAGCCAGCCATTCAGTTCACTGTGGAATGTGAAAAGGAGGACACCTTGCTGTTTCTGAATATATTTATAAAGCGACAAAGAGAATATCTGAGGTTTACACCATACACCTTTTCATCTTAGTAGTTCCCTGACTGGCGCATAGTGTACTTCCACCATTAAATGGTTTCACTTCGGTCGGTTTTGGTTTTAGCGTACTCGTGGCTATTGTTCTGTGCTTTATTGCATGCATTTAATTTTATAATATAAATATTATGTAGCAAAAGAACAATCAAACAGTGTCATAGCTGCATTGAGAACTCCTAACCTTTTGCTTTTTTGGAACACGTGGCTGTGTGCTTCCTTCAAAGTTGACAGCCATGAACTGTCACAGCATTAGGAACAATGTTTTAGTGTTGTAGCCATTTATGCAAAACGTTCCCTGTACAAAAAAACAAATTACCAAAACCATGCAGCTCTTCGGACGAATAAAAAAATAAGAGTATGGAAAACCTGAAAGCTTCCGCTATCACACACGTGTATGCTTATAACCGCCGGCATCCATTGAAACTTTTTTTCAGTTTGTTTAAAGGCCCGAAACATTGTGAACTCGCTGCAATTGTACCGTTGAAAGATTTAAAAGCACCAGATAAAAGACAGAGATAAACATCCACTATTTAGTGTCTCTGAGAGTTTCTCTTTTGATCATCAAAACTGCTTTCGTCTGCCTGGATGGCACAGCACAAACATTTAAGACTTTCCTGTGTCTTTTTTTCTGTCATTTTCATTTCGAACACGAGGCAAGCAAGCCACAATCATTGAGCAGACGTTGCCTTCATAACCAGTGAACTATACTGAGCCCTCGTGCTGCTCTTACCGTCGGCTTTCGATTCGACAACGTCAGAGCTAGCGCTAATCTTCAGCATCCCAACACACATATCCAGTGCGCCGTGGCTGGATGTAGAGTGCGCCGTGGCTAGATGTTAAGACAACTCTAGATATTGTTAAGATGATGATGTCCACTAATTGGAAAGCAGACATAAGCATTTAGAAAAAAGTTCACCAAAGAATGCCACCACAGTAGAAAAAAAACAAACCTGCTGCTCCTCGCATGTAAATAGCCTCCCCCCCCCCTTCAAAAAAAAACAAAAAACAAGTCGGTTTTGAAACAAAGGCACCCTGATTCGTTAAGGCTTTGTTGGCGGGTGTTTTTATTTTTTTTTTATTTTTGTGTTTATGAGTATGCAAATTTTCTATCAGCAACTCACCCCGAAAAATTTCTCATTCCAGCGACACAGACTGACATGCTGACAGAGTTCAAGGTTCTAGTCAGCCGTGGCACTCAGACTGATTACATGCGGACATCTTCGCCTGCCGCACTGGAGATCTGTCCCTTTGACTTTGGACCAACATCACCTGTTCCATTTATCGATCCGGCATATCAGGTTCAGCCCACAGAGGAACCGCAGCCTCAAGTGGAACCTGGGCCAGCCACACTGGCAGGAATTGACTGGTTGTTCTGTGAAACGGAACAAGACATGGAGGTAGAGCTGCCTTCAGAGATAAAACTGCCCTCGGAGCTACCTGGAGACGACTTCCCCACTGAAGGAGATTGCTGCCTTGAAGCCGACCCTGCCTTTGAGGATGGCCTCCCCTCAGAAGCAGACCCGCCCTCTGAAGGTTACCTTTTCTCTGAAGCCGACCCCCCTTCTGAAGCAGAGCCATACGATGCCGCAGATGACACATACTACCCCTCGGAAGAAGACAGCATTAACAGGTTCGCCTTGCTTGATATACTGCAATGAGGCTCTAAATAATTTATTCTAAGTTATGTAATTTGCAAATTTTATCATAACTGTTTGGTTTACTTCATACACTGTCTCAGTTATGGTGCTAATTGCTTTGGAATGCCACTTCCTGTGTTTCACAATCTGACCACCAAGCTGCACTAGTTTGCACAGCACATAACTCTAGTCCCCCCATTTTCCTGCCTCAGATATTTATCCATACATGGCTTTATTTGAAATCTCAAATAAAGAATCATTAGTTTTACAAGTAGTTTTAGCATGATGCACAAAGCATTGAACATTATATGTTCCTTCTTTTTTTAACTCTAAAGGTCTGCAGGCAAAAGCACAGCTCCGACACCCGACAAGGAAAGGAAATATATAATCTATGAAGGATCCTTGTTGGTGCTGTTCAAGTTTTGTAGAGAGTGCCACAAGCCCTGCACAGCGGAACTGCATCCTGACGGCACTTGCCTGACAGTGACCACGCAGTGCCAAGATGGACATGTCAGGAAGTGGACAAGTGAGCCCAGTGTGTCGGGGAGGAACGTGGGAAGCCTTCTTCTCTCCGCCGCAGTTCTCTTCAGTGGGGCAAGCCCTGTTGTAACACTGAGGATGCTGCGGCACATCAACATTCAAGTCATCTCCGACCGCACCTACTACAGATATCAAAAGCATTATCTTCTGCCTTCAATAGCCAGGGTAAGTCTCTTTTTCAATACTATGTTATGATGGACAGTGTTCATAATGGGTGACAGTCACACCCAGAATCTACAAGATATGGTCCTCACCACCTCAGACCACCATTCAAAATAACGGACGTTCATATCAAGATTTTGTTAAGGCCCGTTCACACACCTGCGTTCGGAGCGACCACTATGCTTACGAACGAATGCAACCGCTGCGACATCAACGACAACTGTGCGCGACGTGTACACACACATGCAACCGCATGCAACCACACGAATCGACAGCCAATGAGAAACGAGTTTCAGCTCTTGCTCCTAGCCAATAGTAAGCAACCCAGCTACGCTTACAAACATGGCGGACGGTTTCCTACCCGACGCAGGGTAGCGGGGCCGCTGATCTCTATTGTAGTAGGCTGGATCACGGATCGGGAGCCCGTCGGTGTCGCCACCGGCGGCTATTGCTTGACACCAGGCAATACACGCAAGTCTATGGGAGAAACGCACACAAGTAAGAATATTGAAGCACGTACGCTGTGCTCAAAGGCGAGTGTTTTATGGTGAGCCGCGGTGCTTATGTCGAGTGTTTGGAGATTGAATCTGTATTTGTCAAATGTTCGAACGCTGATGAAAAAAAGGGAAACGTACCGGAGCGCCTACGGCTCTCGTAGTGTAGTAAGCAAAGAAACTTGCTGTCAATGAGACCGTCCTCGGGGAAGCCCAGAAGTTGATGAATGACAAAGAAGTTCCATCTCGACAGAGGCTTTCTGGGAGTGAGCAAATTCCGCGTGGCAAAGCCTTCGAGCTCCTCGTCTGCTAAACCCAACTGAACAAAACCGCCACCCACGCCGCGGTAACTCTAGGTAACTCTTGCCTCATTGAGCTGTACTACAGCGGAGTCACTCTCGACCACAAAATATTTCTTTAAAAGAACTGCGAGGGCTATCAGTTTTAATATTTGTATGCAAACTATCTGACGGGCTTATCGAAAAGCATCTTAAAAGTTTCAGTGCTACAGCAGCTTAGAAACGAGAAAAGCGGCACTTTTTCTCGTTCTCCCCATAGAGTCCCATGCATTGGCTGGTGTCAATCAATGGCCACCGATGGCGACACTCGGCCCCAGCTGCCGAGGCCGCGGTCCGCGATCCAGCCTACTACAATAGAGATCAGTGACCGGGCCCTGACTAGAGCAGCCCGAGGTTTCAACTACGGCGTACAATCACGAAGATCTGCTGTGCGCCTACAATAGCTTTGTAAAGGCTGTTTCAGACATCTAAAACGAACCCGTTATCCGCGACTGCGTCCGTCGTGATCGCAGCGACCGCAACGACCGCGCTGCGCCGCGCGTACACTGCTGCTGCCACTGCAACAAGCGCAGCAGGTCGGCAGCACGGCAACCGCCTCTCCGTTGCCGTCAGCTGTGTCAACGGTGCCTCTATAAAGAAGGGGACGCACTGCCACTCACTTGCGTAACAGAAAATAGACCGTCTTCTATGACCTCAAGCTTTATTACTCTTTTTTTTTTTTTTTAGGATACGCTTGCAGGGTAGTGCATTAGAAAAAGAAAAAGATGCAGTACGCCGTCTTGCACGATCACGACTTTAATACACGACTTTGCCAACAGTAGAAATCTCACCACACGCCATTTCTACAATTATAAAAGATGATGTAATCTTAGCAACGCTACGTAGAAATATAATTTGACAGTCGTTGCAAGCGTTCAGGATTGCTAACACTAATCACCTTTTTCGGGCGATGAAAAAGCGTGAAAATTTGCACCCTTTATACGGCACGCACCAGTAATACCTTGAACTTAAGCACACGCATGAAATGCGCCAAAAATCCGGGCGATGTGCGAGGACACAAATGCTAAGAAAGCACCACTGTAGTCGAAGTAAACAAACACAACGGCACGGGCGTTTCTGCTGTCTTGAGAGTGCCGCCACGTGATTGCCGCACGAGTAGGTGGATCTTCCCTTCTAGTACGTGCTGGGCTATCATAACGACACACGACGAAAATTCACAGTCAAGGATAGTGCTTTTACGGGGAAGGATGAGCTTCCACCACGCCGTCTACGTCGACGATTACCACGGACGCCATGTTTACAGCTCGAAGGAGCCCGGGATGACCAGCATGCAACGCGCGCGACCAAGCTCTCTTCGATTTGTGATTGGTCTGTCGCTCCCGTCGTTCCCGAACGTAACGAAAAAGTTCAGCCTGGCTCAACTCCTTGCGTTGCGAACGAACACGAACAAAACGACCGTTTGGCGCTTCGTTGCTATGGTAACTCGTCGTTCCAACCGGTTGCATTAGTTCGTAAGCGTAGTGGTCGCTCCGAACGCAACTGTGTGAACGGGCCTTTAATGTTTGCGAGCCTCTCATGTACTGCAGTCACTAGCATAATGATCATATTTTTTACCCACTAACAGTTACTCACATTTGATGCCGAAATGTCATCCTGCAGCAGTATTGCAGTGTTAAATCACATACTGGGTCCACTATTGAAATCTGGACAAAATTGAATTGGAAACTTCCACTCGACTACTAAACTCAAGAGCTTTGACTGACTATTTTCGCCTTACATGCGAGACTTCCTTTGGTTCATACCAGATTTGCAGGGACACCAGCATTGCTTTCTTTCTCCCTGCTAGAATTGTGTGGGGTCTGCAGTAATAAATAAAATAAAAACAGAATAAACTCTTATACCGTGAGGTTTTCAAATTTAACATTGTCCAGATTATAGTGTTGGACCTAGTGCACAGGAGCAGAGGCTGCAATGTGTAGCAAGATGTCCTGACAGGGCTCTTCGTGTAGGCGCAGCATGTTCGCGCTTGTGATTAATAAAATATCTGCCCGTGTAGCCGATGTACGACGATCTGCATGACATGGCACTTTCATATACCAGTCCCGTGGTGCATTCTGTGAACCTGTTGTAGTGCTTTGTATAGCAAGAATCTGTGGAATTTCGGAAATTGTTGATTTTGCGGCACATTTGTGATAGCTTATTGCGTGCAGAAAAAACAATGAGTGCATCGTACCGATCGGCAACCTTTTTAAGATTGTGGATTAATGAGTACAAGCACAGGATTACCGCAGGACTTGCAGAGTCTCTTTTCCGAGGTTGCCTCAGTCTCCCTTCATCTTTTTTTATTAGGCTGTCCACCACTTCCGCCAGAGCGCTCCTACAGCAGCCCGGTTTCTGCAACCATGCTACCTGTTCCGTGAAGATCTCTTGAGCACTATGTGCACAGGACCTTTTAAGTAACGCCTCGAAACATTGTCTCTTTGTGCCTATGTGTATGTGTGTGTCGGTTGCAGAAAGCGGGCTACCGTCGGAGCACTCTGGCGGAGGTGGCGGACAGCTTAATAGGAAAGAAGGGACACCGAGGCAACCTCAGGAAAGAGATTAGGCGAATCCTGCATGAGCACTCATTAACCTGCAATCTTAAAAAGGTTGCCGATCGATACGATGCACCCATTTCTTTTTCGACACCCAATAAGCTATCACGATTGGGCCGCAAAATCAACAGTTCCCTCAAAGTCCGCAGATCCTTGTGATACAAAGCCCTGTAACAAGTTCACAGAATGCGCCACGGGACTGGTATATGAAATTCCCATGTCATGCAGATCGTCAGCCACATGGGCAGATGTTTTAATAATTGCAAGCGCAAACATACAGCGGTTACACGGACAGCCCCCCAAGGACACCTTGCTACACGTTGCAGATACTGCTCCTGTACGCCATCATATTCCAGTTGGATATCTAGGGAGCTGTACGAGGCCTTTGATATAACAGAAAAATGTATAAATTGTATTAGTGAAGGTCCGTGTCATTATCGGCGAAAGAGTAAGCCTTTTTGCCACGGGCTACACCACACACAGGCGTGACTGTGGATTCTGCTACGAGTATAAAGAGATTGGGTTTTTCCATAAATCTTAGCTGTAAAGGTGCCCCGTTTCGACTTTTTTTTCTTTTATTGTCCTTGTGTAGTTTCAACTCTTAGTTTCGGCACTTTGTGCGTGATAATGAACCAACTAGCCCAAATCACCATTTTAATGCAACCGCTGTTTGTCTTTCTTTCTGTTGTCAGTCACGGGCTCTCAATGTGGAGTTTCGTTAATTATATTGCAGAAATAAAATGATTCATGTCATTCAGGTCTGGAACGCCGAGCAGGAATGCATCCTTGAGGAGATGAGAAGTGCAGGAGGCGCCCATTTATCGGGTGATGGACGTTGCGACTCCCCCGGATTTAGCGCTAAGTATGGCACATACAGCTTTTACTCCAACACCCTGAACAAGATTGTGCACACAGAGCAAGTTCAAGTTGGTGAGGTGAACAATTTTATTCATTCATCTGTGTTCCAGCCTCCACGTTAGCTAAAACTTCAAATTATCACTACAGCACGAAGAATTGTGGAAACAATTTCTACAAATCCATCTTGCATCCATTTACAACGAACCTTACGTTTATGGCTTATCGGAATGGATAAGTGTGAGCGGTAACAATCACAACGGTCAGCTAAGAAAGGCAGGTTCAGAAATTTCCATTTTGCTATAACGGACTGCGATACGACCAGTTGAGCTGCAACGCCAGGTTGCTATGGCAACCGTTGCCCGTGCACATGGTTGAAGGAGACGAGGTTTGCTCCGTTGCGATCCCACACAGTTCAGACTCCTCCTCTATTCTTCTACCGTGCCTGTGCATAGTGCCAAAGGAAAGCCAAAATGAGCCTACCTTGTTACGGGTTTTTATGACAAGATTGGCAATACTGGAGCTCTGCATACACTCTGTGTCCTGGGGCTTTCACTAGTATATTTTCTCTTTGGACCTTTGTGAACGTTTTTAGAGAACCAGTGTAAAATAATGAGACGAAAATGCATCTATCTGCCCAGTTTCCAAACTAGCTGTCTATACTCTGGACTGCAGATTCCTATATTGATGGGACAGAACTTAGTGAGCTGAGACCAGTACCCCAAAAAATGTCTACATAACAAGGCGTCAATGTAAACGAGACATAGCTGTCTACAAGAATGTTACGAATGATGTACTTGTGTAATGGGGAAGTTGATATGATTGACTCACTCTATTTCTAAACATAAATAGATAGCATTTTACAGTAACTTGTAGTGAAGTTGGATATATTACCGGCTGATGTCACCACCTCACCTGCGCCCTTACGTTCTGTTTTAATGTCAATAGTCTGCATGTTTTTTGGGGTGCTTGTTGTTTATTAGAAGAAAAATTGCAGCGACGAGCAGTCGGCATAGTCGTTCCGACGGTGACATCATGAAGACCTAGACATTATTTTTTTAAATAACGAAGATGAGGGGAATTCTTGTGATGGTAGCACCATTTCGGAGAATTCTGCCAACAACAAATACACTTTAAAAGGACTTGTGAGTCGCAACTACAGAAAGGTACTCCTAACTGTGGCGCATCATCGTCAGAACTGTTGCTAGACGAGGAATGAGCAAAGCATTCCAGGTTGTAAAAAAACATGTTTCCTTATTTCGTCCTCTTTTCATTTATGCTTGCTGGAAAGCATGTTAGAGAAGCAAAAGATTTGTGCAAGGATTAGCTCAGCTTTAGGTGGAACAGCCTGTCATGTGGAGGGCCCGGCAGTGCACGCTGCATGCGGTACCGAATGGGCTAAGAGAAGGGCAACTGTGGTCAATATATTTCTTATTTTGGGATTACGACTGTTTTTAGGTAAACCAGTGTCCCTGAATAACAAGGTACAATTTTTTTTATATTGCGCATAGTTTATAAATATTACGGCTCAAAGTTTGCTTTTGGTCGTCTACGGCAAAACCAAAAGTACTTGCTAGAGGGTGGCAACACTGGTCATCAGCCGTACGGCTGCAACGTGACGTCACAAGGGTGCTGCGGTACAACCAATGAACTGCAACTCCACCGTTGCATGACGTCACACAGATGCTGCACCAGTTTTCCTTGATTAAAAGCTATCCTGCTTGCCGCGTGCTAAAGAGCAGCTGGTCCCATCTTTAAAATAAGTTTTATGGGAGAATGCGGTTTCACTTTGACATAATATTTCAGCTATGATCATATTTCGTGCTACTAAAGCGACACCAGTAACTTACTTTAATTTCATTTTCAACCAGAGTTGCCTTTTTTAGAGAGGTTCTTGGCAATTGTGTACAACTCCCTTGCTTTTTTTTTTTTTTCTTTCTTCACTAGAATGACGCAGTGCAGGCAAGCTCGCACATGGAGAAGGTTGGCTTCATGAGAGGCTTCAACTACCTGCAAGAAAACAACATAGATGTGTTATCATTCACCACAGATCGGCATGTGTCAATCAAGAAAGAGATGGCAACTAATCATCCCGATGTCAGCCACTGCTTCGATGTGTGGCACTTTGCAAAGGGTATGGAATAACAGAGCTCTGAACACCTGCAGCTACCTGGACATATACAAAAGTACACAAAACAAAACTGGTAGATGCCGGTATATATAATAAACTTTGCTGCTAGCAGATCAGATGTGGATAATAGGGGTTGCAGTTGAGGGCTGGATGTTACCTCCGTAAATCTGATATTATCATAAAATGTGTGTACTTGGGGAAAGCATGTCTGTGCAATTGAATGTGCGTCAAAAGTGCCCGTCAGGTCTAAAATATATAACGAAATGTTGTACATAGCTGGTTGGATGAATATGAAGCCTATTGAAGACTTGATGCAAATAATAAACCAGCTACCTGTGTGGCGGGATATTACAGTAATGAATATTCAGGGACATACTGTTCTCATAAGGAAAGATTTGGAAGGGCCTTACAAGCACGGCATTTACTTTACCCTCGTCGTGCAGAATAAAGCTCACCAGTCAGTTACTTGTTGGAGTTCTAATTACAATCCTCATTGTTCCATTCTACGAATACAATTCCTTAGTTCCAAGCACTAAAACCAGTCAAACTTTATAGCGTTTCTTCACTCTGTCCATCCATTACAGGCATCACAAACAAGCTGCGAGCAGCGAGCAAACGCCCTCAGAACAAAGATCTGAAAAGATGGATGGAAAAAGTAACGAACCACGTGTACTGGTGTGCAGCTATTGGGAATGGCGATGGCCAAGTGGTGCTTGATGCGTGGAAAACAATCACGCGCCACATCATCAACGTTCATGACGGGCATGAGGGCTCCATCTCAAGATGCATGCATGGGCCGTTACACAACAAGTTGTGGCTCAATGCAGGTGGGTTCTTTTTAGAAACTGTTCAGAAGCTGAGATGACAACTAACAGATGTTGTTTTTCTTTTCTTGCATAATACGAAAGAGTCATCAGCATACCAGGTTTTCATGAAAGTTGCACTTGCCCCACTGCTGCTTCGGGACATCAGGCAGCTTTCGCCTTCCTTCCAAACCTAGAGCCTGGAGTCATTCCATAGTGTGCTCATCGGATTCGCACCAAAGTCTACCGTATTCACCTATGAGGGGATGCGTGCCCGGTATGCTACGCCACACCTCACATCTGTACACTGCTCTGAACGTGTGTAAATCTCTTCCAGAACCCTACTGGCTGTGCTGCATTTTAATGCAAATGCAAAACGCCTGCAGGCCACAACCAAGGATGGCCAGGGCAGGTACAAGGTCAAAGCATCAAAATCAAGGAAGGACCATCTGGCGGCATTCCAAATGGCAGAAGGGGCGAAATTCGGTAAACATACGCAAAATCTCACTCTCACTCAATGTGTAACCAATACCACTGAAATCTTCTCTTTGCAGAGTATATCAGTACACTGATGACGAACGTGCTTGAACGTCTCGAGCGTCTGCCATCTTTCAGGGAAGCTGCTTCTGAGCTGTCGACTCCTCCCCCTCCTCCACCCATGATTGCCAGGGTGCAACCCAGACCGTCTAAGGCAGACTTGGTAGCTGCACACAAATCCCGGTTCGGGAAGGCCTAGGCACCATCCTATTCAACCTTTTCTGCCCCAACGTTACTAGATCGGCTCGGTTGTCAAGCTCCGCATTAGCCGCGCTTGGGAAAGCCAGCCCCCTCCGCTCATGCGAGCGGGGTGGGCTGGCTTTCCAATCCGGACATTACCACAATGCAACAGTTGTTAGTAAAACACTTTGTAAGCCCACACAGGAACTATGTGACTTCACGGTGTGTCCAAGGGTACCCAATCGTTGGACCGAGCGGGTTGGGTGGGCTGTGACACGAATGCCGCTACACGGCAGTGAATGGCAGCGCGTCACTTTTTTCTCTGACCTTGTCAACTTAGCCGATCCAGTAACGTTGCTCTTCCCTGTACTTGTATATAACTCTACCTCGAGCTAGTTTGCTTTCTGTTGTGTAATGGTACCTTTTACAAGTGTAGATAGACCGCAAAGCCAGCAGGACGTGGCCGGCTGAACAGAAATGAAGACGAGCAAGAATGGAACGAAGATTGCGAAGGTGATCCGGGTCAGACTTGCCAGTGACAAGAATGTTGTCAAAGACACAGCAACGTGTGGCAATCCAAAAAACAAGTTCTCTATTTCTCACTGGAAAATAGCTGGAGCAGACGACACCCCGAAAGGAAGACGGGTGTACTGGAACAAGCCCTTGTGTGTTGAAATGGTCACATACTTTTTGGAGTCTTCGAGAACTACTTACTGGTAGAGCTGGAGCAGACAACACTCCGAAAGGAAGACGGGTGTACTGGAACAAGCCCATGTGTGTTGAAATGGTCGCATACTTTTTGGAGTCTTGTTCGAGAACTACTTGCTGGTAGGCATCCCTCAAATCCAACTTTGTAAATTTCTCGCCCCCAAAAAGCGTGGCCCACAGATCTTAGATTCTTAGAATGGGGTACTTCTCTAATGTTGCCACTTGATTTACAGTAACTTTGAAATCTCAAAAATTCCTCACACGACCATCCTTCTTTGCCACAGGAACAATGGGTTCCTGTGGCAGGTTGAAGTTCTGACCGGTGTAAAAACAGCCTCTCTTTCTAGCCGCTGGTGGTCTTGCGTAACTCCATCTTTCAAATCAGAAAGTAGCGGGCGTGGCTTGAAGTGGGGTGCATGAATTGTGGCTTCTGTGCTCTTGAAGGTGCTAAGACTTTTCTCGAAGACTTCCAATAACTCGTGAACTAGAGTTTTCACATCCGAGAGGGAATGAACGGTTGCCTCCACCTTCGAGAAATTGATTCCCAGCTCTCGAATCCAATTGCGTCCAAGCAGTGTAGGTGAACCATCTCCTGTACTCCTGAAAACAGTTTTTTTTTTTTGTACATGACGGACAGAGTTGCTTTTGTATCCATCTCCATGCAAAGTGGCTTGCTGCACACAGTGACGGTGGAAGGCGGTGAGGACGCAGCGCTGTCAATTTGCCACATGTCAAAAACCTCGGGACGATGTCACTCCGGTATCTT